AAGACCTGTAGCTTTAAAAAAAATATATATATATATATGTATATATACACACACACGTATATATTATTTATGCATACAAGAGCTGGGGTGCAGGCCAGAAGTGTGGGGGCAGGGGAGTGAGAAGATTCACCAGAGACAGAGTGGGGAGCAGAACAGGCAGGTAGACTGAAATAAACTGCTGTGGGGAGCAGCTGGTGAGACAGGAGAGGTTTGCTGTGCCATGTGGGTCAGCTCCTGGCTGGGAATCAAACTTGTGCTGCAGTGTCAGCTGATAGCTTCATAGTGTGGAGACCCAATCCTTTGCGTCACCAGGAAGGCCCAAGACCTGTAGCTTTTTGAAAAAGAAAGTCTTTGTTCACTTTCCCAAGAGGCACAAAATGGGAATGAATAATGGAAATGAATAACGTAAATAAAAAGATAACAGTAGAACACAGAGTCTCTATTTATCTGAAATTCCATATCTCTTATTTCCCCATTGTGGGCTGGGGGGGGTCTTTCCATTAGACATAAATGCTTCAAAGAATTATCTGCAAAATGGGAGCCTGGCGCAAAGGTTAGCAGGGTAAAGGCCCTTAATGGCAACCATTAAGGACAGATAAAACTGTCTTTGTTATAAACATGCTTTTTGTTATCCATCTCATCTCTCACTAGCTTAAATTAAGGCCTTCTTGGCTTCACATTCTAGGGTCATGCCATTCGCAGGTTAAAATCGGCAAGAAAACGGGGATAAGAGGCAGCAATTGGAGCATGCTTATATCAGGGAATGAGAGGGACAAAGGATAGATATGGTGTAGCTACCTACTGGTCTAATTCTTCTTGGAAGCAGACAACAAACAAGGGGGAAAAAATCCAGAAAATTTTGGCTCAAGTAGTAAGGAAAAGCCATGTGTTTCTTTATACTGCTAAATGAGGAGAGAGGACACTTGTAGTATCTTCTTCTGTTCTTAGCATTACTAGTGCCCTTCTTTGAAAAGGATGCCTGTTCCAGGCCAGCTCTGCATGTCTAGACCAGATGCAGAAATAAGTGTGAGGGAAGAGGGAGGGGGCAATAGAAAAGCATGGCTGCAAAGCCCCTCTTTCATGGGACACTACGATGCACGCTCATCTCGGTATACTTTCTCAAATCTCACCTCTGGACATTAGCTCTCCCGTGTTTGTCTTTCAAGTTCAGCTACCCAACTGGCCCAGAGTTCAATTGTTTCCATCTCTTAAATTCATCACTCTTCTTCTTCCCTACGAGAAAGGATCTCTTGTTTTCCACCTCAAAGCTTAGTAGTAGTGAGTAGCAACTCTGGCGTCGAGAGGGCTGTTGGTGGGAGCCATTGCTTACACCAGCCAGCACTGGTTAAGAAAGAAAGGTGCAATCTGGAGGTTCACTCACACCCTGCCCAAGGCGCCCTGAGGCCTCTCCGTCCGAGCCGCTGCAGTGTGGCCAGCACGCAGCCCCAGTCTGCAAGCCAGGCAAGGATCGGAGCTCGGGGCTCTCACCTCGGCCCCCACTGCCGCCAGCAGCCGGCAGCCCCCACATCGGCCCCCGCCCAGGCTTCTGCTCATGCACCCGGCTGCCTCTGCTGCAGCCGCTGCCATGGTGATGGATCTCGCGAGAACTGCCGCTAGGTGCCGCGCAGTTCTCGCGCGATCGTGGAGGTGGGAAGTATCCTGGTCGGGGGTGGGGGTGCAGCGCACTGCTCCTGTCGCTGTCGCGGCTTCCGGTGCTAGGTAGAGGGAAGGAAGGAGGAAGCCCGGGAGCGGGGTCGGGGAGCAGCCCGCGGAGATCGGCTGGGGGAGCCGGAGGGAGCGGAGCGAGAGGCGAGCGGAACCTGCGGGGGCGGAGGCGGCGGCCGCGGCCGCGGAGCTGGGAGCCGGAACAGGTGAGGAGCTGGGGAGGGAAGGCGGGCCCCCCGGAGGAGAGGCAAGGTGGGGGGCCGTGGAGAGAGCCACCTCGCCCCCGGCGACCGGCTTGGGCGGCGTAGTGCTTCCCACCCGAGAGCTCAGAGAGGGGGCGCCGGGCCAGCCCCACGCCTGCCTCTGCATTTGAAGGACGCGGAGCTGGGGTGGGGGTGGGGGGGCACGCGCGGATTTGTCCTCCGCCTCTGGGAAGCGAGCGACACAGCTAGGTTCCCTTCGTTTGCAAGAGGTGGGTTTTCCAGGGGTCGGTATTGGAGGGAGACGAAAGCAGTCCGGGGAGAGGTGATGCGGGGGTGGTGATGCCTGTTTCGCACCCTTTTCCTACAAGGGAGAGGGAATGCTGCCGTTCCTACCCCGTTACCCTTCTACCTTAATAATGGGCGGCCAGGGAGAAGCTTTGCGGTGGTGACACCACCTCCCCTGACATGTTCGGGTGCTAGAGGGTTTAGGGAGTAGCCGTCTGGACAGGCTAGCGTGGCACCCCAGGGACACTATTCTGGTAGGTGTTGCGCTTTTGGGTCTTGGGAACCGCATAAGAGGAAAAGGGCAGCAGGTTGGGAGCGGGAGGAGATGAGGCAAGAGGAGGGGGAGGGGGACCTGGTCTTGCTTGGAAAAGAGAGGTGGTGCCTTCCTCCCCCAGGCGAAGCGGGGGCGGTCTCACAAGAGGAGGGAGCATCTTGTCGCTGACTCTGAGTTTGTCTTCTAATCCGCTTTCTTTCTTTAGGAAGTACCACGATTCCTGGAACAGAAAATGGAGCCATTGCTTTACACCAATGTTTGAGGGAAGGAGGGAGGGGGAGAGGGAGTCGGGGTTGAAACTGGCCACTTGATTGGTAAAGTAGGAAATCCTCACTGGGGGAGTTCCCATCTTTTTGGGTTGTATCCTAGCTCCACCTGGCCAGGCCAGGCTGCATGTGGTATGTAGTCCAGAGTATAGTCAAGAGTGAGAAGAAATAGTAAGGTCATCCAGGTGAGGGAGAAGTGTAACTTAAAACCTGCTCTGCTGCTATTGGATTGGGTCACTCACCACTGGTCTATGGCATGAAAGTTTTATTGGTAGGAGATCTGCTTCAGGAGTCTGATTGCTTGGGTCAGTGCAACAGGACACAATCTAGTCTCTGCAAACTTCCTTCCCTGTCTAATCAGGTGGTGACAATCTTTCCTGCCCTTTTGTCTGGAGCTTCTCGCTGGGATGTCTCCACTTGCTCTGACGGGCATGGGACTATAAATTGGCTATTGCACATTAGACCTGCGTTTGAATGAACCTTGGATTCAGCTGAGAAGGCACCTATGTTTCACATTCACATTCACAGCTGACTACAGTTTAAGGAAAGGAAGAGACGGCTTGGCTGTCAGGGAGCATGCCTGGAAGTAGCAGAGCAAGATGCAAAGACCTGTAGCTTTAAAAAAAAAAAATATATATATATGTATATATACACACACACGTATATATTATTTATGCATACAAGAGCTGGGGTGCAGGCCAGAAGTGTGGGGGCAGGGGAGTGAGAAGATTCACCAGAGACAGAGTGGGGAGCAGAACAGGCAGGTAGACTGAAATAAACTGCTGTGGGGAGCAGCTGGTGAGACAGGAGAGGTTTGCTGTGCCATGTGGGTCAGCTCCTGGCTGGGAATCAAACTTGTGCTGCAGTGTCAGCTGATAGCTTCATAGTGTGGAGACCCAATCCTTTGCGTCACCAGGAAGGCCCAAGACCTGTAGCTTTTTGAAAAAGAAAGTCTTTGTTCACTTTCCCAAGAGGCACAAAATGGGAATGAATAATGGAAATGAATAACGTAAATAAAAAGATAACAGTAGAACACAGAGTCTCTATTTATCTGAAATTCCATATCTCTTATTTCCCCATTGTGGGCTGGGGGGGGGTCTTTCCATTAGACATAAATGCTTCAAAGAATTATCTGCAAAATGGGAGCCTGGCGATTATTGCTGAAGGAGCTAGTGAATGCTCTCTGTGGTGGTTGGCCTAAGAATTGGTGCCAGTGAACGGTGGCTGCTATTATACTGAATGCGAGCATAAAGGAGCTGGACAGTAGGCTGGAGGAGTGGAAGTGAAGTCTTAATTGCACAAAGGGCCACACTGTGTGTGCTCATCTCTGCTAGTCTCTCTTCCACTGGAATTGTAAGAGGAAATGAACTCAGGACAGTGGGCGGGATTTGTTGGTTAGAAGGAGGAACTTCTGTAAAACTAGATTTGTTAAAGCTGAGTATATAAGTGTGGAATGTGCTTCCCCATATACCTTTAGAAAGGGATGCCAAGAGATCCAAAACTGAAAGCACATGACTGTGTGGCTCTTTACGATTTTGTTGCAGGTAAATTTAGAGGCATAATGGCATAGTAATTAAGAGTGTGAACCTTGGATTAGAGACAGTTGTTCGAATTCTGCTTCTGTTAATTACTAGTTGTATAATTTTTGTGGAATTGTCTTCTCTTAGTTTCATTTTCCTCATCTGTAAAGAGTATGATAATGATAATACCTCTTTTGTAGTGTTGTCTTGAGAATTAATTGAGATGATAGATGCAAAGCACTTAGTATTGCACAAAGCACATAGTAAGTCCCAAATAAACGTTAGCTATTAATAATCATTACCATAGCGGTGATAATATGAGCACTCAGGGCTGCCTAAAAGGAGAGAGGTTTACAAAAGAACAATTTGCCTCCTGAGGTGCCTGTGTAGAGAAATGATTGTTACCATGACTTTCTGTGCTGCTCATAGGCTTATGAGCAATGAAATCTTTTTTCAGCAGCAGTTTCATAGAGGCAGCTCCTGCTGCCAGAGTGGGAGGTGAAGCTGGAGCCAGACAGGGGCCCTGAACCCTCAGCTTGGATTAAGGGTAAGGACATGGGGCTTAAGAGTAGTGTTGATGTTAAAAAGTCAGTGTGACTCTGAGGTAATGGTTGACTCTCATAAATGAACACCTTGGTTAACCTGGGACAGAAATTTAGATTCCTAGATTTTGTTTTAGGTCTCATAAGTATTTCAGCATCCTCCATTTCCTGCCCCGTTTCTCTTAATTTACTCATATCACCTTTATATATCTGCCTTTGAGTGTGTTTTAAAATATATTGTATTAAGGCCCAGAATTGCGATATCTGTGTAATTTTTTCTGCTATACCTTTTCTGACATTTGTTGCAAATACAGGCTGAGTGCTAGTATAGCTTTTTGACATGAGAAGACCTGGGAAGCATTTAGAAAGAGTTCACAGACATTCGGAGGCTTTCTATTGTGATCTGGGAAAGAACTGTCTGAACAAGGATTCAGTGAATGCATTAGAATTTTGTTGTGGTCTTCTGCAAAGTTTCTGTTATGTCATATGCACTAGAAGGGAAATAGCTCAAGATTTCAGGGATCCACCATTATCACCATATTCTTGAAGAAAGGAGGTGACTGGTGTGGCAAGTCTTGTGGAACCTTTTAGCTCCCTCATTACTGGTGAGAACCTGACATGACCCTTCTTTATGAGTTGATGCCCAAGAGTGGCAGTCTTGAAGGTTTAAACTTCGACATGATTTAGAATGCAGATTGCAATAGTTTTTGTCCCGCTTCTGTTTCAAAGAGGCAATGGAATCTTAACCTTTGACAAAGTCTTACTTGAAGATTTGAAGTCGGAAACAAAGCATGAAAGTGGAGCTGCTTAGGCGGTGCTGGCGAGTGGGGGTGCTGGCGAGTGGGGCGCATGATTAGAGCTTCTCGTGTGAGCCCCTCCCCTTCCTCCAGGCAGTCCCTGAATCTCATCCGAGGATCCCTAGGGTTCTAAGAACATGTCACATGCTGGAATGGGATCCACCTGTGGAATCCTGGCTTCCTCACCCTCACAAATACTTTGGCACCATCAGTAGAACTTCACTTCTCAACAGCAAGCATGTTGGTCACGAGCTCTGGATTAGTCATGCAGCTAGGTGCTGAGACATGAAACATGAATAAGGCCGGATCCCTGCTGGCAAGTGAAATACTTCCCGAACACTTTTTCATCAGGGCACACACAGGATGGTAATAGTGCGACCAAACATACTTGCTTACAACCTGAGATTAATGGCCCAGGGAGACTGGCCACGTTAGGCCTTATCTAGCTGTCTAGTACTAGGGGGATCTTCAGCTGACCCATAGTGGACTAAGGGCACATTGGAAAGTTCCAGCTCTGGACAGTGAAACAGACAACATGAATAAAACATACCGTGATTACCCTAGAGCAGAGCATGTTTGACAAGCTGGGCCATCATGGTCTGCTCTGGTTCCCCAGAGGGAGGCTGCTCCCTGACTTCTGTAACCCAGGCTGCTCAGTAGTGGCTGGCTTTGTCCAGACCATGGCTTCCTATTTATTTATTTATTATTTATTATTATTTTTAAAGATTTATTTATTTGTGCAAACAGAACTGGGGTACAGGCCAGAGGCTCAGGGGCAATGAGAGGCTTCACCAGAGACAGTGGGGAACAGAACAGGCAGATCGATGAAGTACACTGCTGAGGGGAGCAGCAGGTGGACCAGGAGAGGTCTGCCACGCCATGTGGTCACCTCCAGGGCAGGCGGGAATCGAACTCATGCGGAAG